CTCTGTATATATATCGTCAAATAGAACTGCCCGGTAAACCGTAGGCAGAGAGGGAGAAGAGGACAACAAACGAGGGGCTGTGACAAACTGTTTCGTCGGAGTTTCACCGACTCATCAGGAGGCTGAACCCTCAACAATCTGCAGAATCCCCTCACTGATTACACTGTAAATGATATATATATGTAATGACCCGCCAAAACACAGACTGAGAACACTGCTGATTTCTGGGATTTGCACCTGGAATGAATGCCTTGCTGAGATTCCCGCGTTCTGCTGTAGTTTCCAATTCTGTGTGTCTGCGTGCCTGCTGAGTTACGTGCCTGTCTGAGTGCTTGTCGGCTGAGCGTGTGTGTGACCGGCAAGGGTACTTGTTGGTTGAAGGGCCCCGCAGGGCCGGTACTTACCTGTGGCCGTGACTTTGAGGGTTACAGCAGGAAAACACAAGTAGCGGGGTTAGGCCCGCGACACTTCAATGGTAGAAGTGGTAGGCCGGTACCACTCAAGTAGTGGTAGAAGTGTCGGGTACTGGAGGCCGAGCAGAAGAAGACAAAAAGTTGGCATTTTCAAAGTCCCAGTAGTGGTCAGTTAAAGGTAGGCCGGTACCAGTCCAAGTAGCCCGGGTCTAGGGCCTGTCCAGACGATAGCAGAGCCTGCAATGATGTTTGCCTCCGAAAGGGAGGAGGTACTGGTTGCTGGGAGGCCGCTCGGCCTAGGAAGTCACCGCCCAAGAGGCCAGTAGGCCGCTATATCTTCCGGAGGAGCAAGTAGCTCCTCATTTGCAGTATGCAAGGATTGGCGACACGCTGCTGAGCCAAGCCCTGGACTTGTACAGCGCTGCCTGGAGGTGAAGGGCAGCTGGGCGCTCAGCCTGTCTATGGCGAGCAGCCCAGCCTGAGGAGGAGGAGGAAGAAGGGGGCGAAGGAGGAGAGTGGCGAGGTACCTACCTGGCTATGGTGGACACCATCTTCAGCACCTTGTTGGGCGCTGCATCTGGAAGGCCTCAGCTGGGGTAGTGCCGCACCAAGGAAGCTCGAGACAGAGTCAGGCATGGCGGCTTAGTCAGCAGCGGCATAGCTGCTTTGGGTTGGCCTTTGGACAGGAGTGCAGCGCCATAGCTGCTTTGTGTTGTCCTTTGCACAGAAGGGCTGAGCCCTCAGTTGTCCGCCATAGCCTAGGCTTGTGAGAAGTGGAAGAAGGGGGAAGCCATAGCTATGGTGGACCTGCTGTTGTTGTTGTGTCAGCAGTAAAAGGGAACTTCGGATATTGATTCTGGTTCATCCACTCATTGTAATTATTATTATTGGGAAAGAAGAATAAGATTGGGGAAGTTAAGGAGGAGAAGGGGGATTTGCCATCGGTCTTGCTGGCGTACATCTTCTTCTTCTTCTTCTTTCTCTTCTTCTTCTCTTCTCTGGCTTCTATCTCTTTGCAAGTGCTTTCATTTCTTTTGCAATTGGGTGGCATTGACTTTCATTGTGAAGTTGCACTTTGGGAATGACCAGGATCGTAACAATTGGTGTCGGAGCAGACTCACTTGCTGGCAAGAGGTGTTAGTCACCCTAAACCTAATTCCGAATTAGGTTAGAGCTAACGTAATCTCGGATTAGGGTTGGGAAGTTAGGGTTAAGAGGGGCAGTGAGGTATGTGGATACTGCCCCCACCTGGTTAGGTCATGTACGGTCGACATGGCGACACACAAAGGAGGCTGATTGGAGTAAGCGAGAGGGAGTAGGGAGTGAGAGGTACTCGCACCTGGAATCTGCACTTCAAGAAGCCATTGAGTGACTTTTGGGCTTCCCTTCAAGAGCTACCATATCTGCATCGAAACGCTGCAAGAGGTACCGACGGGGGATCCGGCGTTGTAACAGGGGTGTAGGGAGGCCCTCTTAGTCATGCTAGGACACTTCGTGGAGTGGTAGCTAGGGGTCAGGAGGACCTACAAGAGAGCGGGGTGAGTCATCCATCTTTCCAGCCCGGGCCTCACAAGTAAGGACCGTGTGAACTGGTTATGCCCGTGGGAGGTTGCTTGGTGCTTCATGGCCTGTTGGGGTGTGCCGGGCTCTCTTCCTCTTCTCTGCGGTCTTGGTTGTGTGTGTGAGCATGCGGATTGCTTTCTCACCTGATGGATGGATGGACGATGTATCTTGTTCTCAATGACATATCTTTCTACGGTGCATTGTCTTTTCACTTCTGAGCGCGTAGGGGTAAGTTTTTGCTGAAAAGTTGTCTTTTCCTTTTCAATACAGTAAAAGCAGTTTGGGACTGACCTGGTACACCTATCTCGTTGGTCCTGGGCCACGACCTACTTGGGACCTTCGGGACTCAGTGGGACCAGGCCCAACACGACAGGACCTTTAGGACCCAAATCTGCTGCCATCAATGCATCTTATTGCTGTGCTGAATTTAAGGGACCTACGGCTAGTAAGGACATTCCTTTCAAGGGGATCTTGACTGGTCTTACTGCATGTCCTCACGTACTGCCCCGCGTCTTTCTCAACGACCGTCTGCACCCGTCGAAATCTCCATTGCTGCAGTTAGTTTTCTTCGACTGACTTATTGTGGTGCATGCTCCTTGTCAAATTAGACAGGAGGGGATCTCCAGCTAATCTTATCGGGCCCGTTTGATAAGTCAGTCCTCTCTTTGTTTTTTTTATATTATTTATCTATTTATTTTTATTCTGCTGCGTGAATCCCATTCTCTAAGTCCAAATGAATTACCTCTCCGGTTGGGAGTTCTACCTTCTGCTCTTTGTGATTTACTGTTTTTCTTTTCTCTGAACTACCTATGTCCGACATTGACACGCGTGCGCAGAAAGCGGAAACAGAGAGAAGGGAGAGAGAAGGTGTTCTTTTTGAGAGCGTGAGGAAGGGTAAGAGGAGTGTTCGTCCAAAAGTGAGCAAAGTGCGAACCCTCCTTGAGAGATCTATTGACGCCCTATCCTCCAGCATGGCAGACATCACATCCGAGCAATGGAAGGCCATGCTGCACGCAGCGGCCGAGAACGAGAAACCTTTCTTTCAAAAACTTTATGAGGACGCAATGCATAGAGAGAGGGAGGCAGAGGCAGCAGCTAAAGCCACAAGTATTGCTACACAAGTGGCCCTCGTCGAGGTTCCTAAATCTAGTGATGACCAGTTCCAAGAGAAGCGAGCAGCTATCGTAGTAGCCTTGGGTCAACTGCGGACCTTAGAAGATCTCGAGTCCCATGTGACATCTCTAGAGCAGCGAAACCAAGAGCTGCAGGCTGAGATAGTCAGCCTCAAACAGTCCCAATTGTCTGCCCCCAGCCCTCCTAATCCTCGTCCTACTGCAGTCCCAGTCTCTCACCCTAACACAATCCTCATGCAGAGAGCAAGCGGAACTGTGATGAGCGCAGGAACCGGTGCCAGCTCCTCAAGCGGTAGCGCCGGCAGTTCTGCACTGGTCCCATTCCCAAATGCGGGAACATCAGCCCAAAACGCCGCAGTTCTTACTGGGGTACAATACAACGGTCCCGTAGTGGACAAGAGGGAGTCCACTCTGCCGTCCAAGTACGTCGGGAAGGGGGACATCACCTCTTGGATTAGCTCCATGCTCTCATACTTCGAGGTACTACGAACACCGCAGGAAGACCGAAGCATGATCATGGGCACAAATACAGAGCCCGCCGTACGGAGTTTCATAGAACTCCAAGCTGTTACTGCAGGTTATGAGAGAATTGATCTGACAGAGTGGCTGAAAGTGACTCTTGTACGTACTCTTGAGGACCTCCTCATCGAGCAGCATCAAGATAAGCACGCTGTGCTCAAGGCAAGGCTGAAGCTTGAGGCCCTCAAGGACCAAAAGTGGAGGACTTCCATGCAGGCTTTGGAGCAGCACTTGACTAGTCTATTCACCACTCCAAACCTGGGATGGACTGACGTGTCTTGCATGGATGTAATTATGGGAGTGGCCCCTAAAGGTTATGTCTCCCAGCTAGGACTCAAGGACCATACGACAAGTGTCCTTTCGACGCGGTCATTGGCTTGGGCTGGTAAAAGGCTCATTGTCTACGGACCACGTGGGCAGGATACTCAGTTCGTGGTGCGTGATGCCAAGGGGAACGAGCGTACCGTTCTATTGGACGATACGTTTGAATTCCCTATGACTCTTTTTAGTGCAAACAAATTCTGCAAACCAGTGCGCAGGCGCAAGGAAGCTGAGCACGTGCATCTAGCACTTGTGAAGCCTCTCCATGTGCCTTCTACTTTTGCTGCATTTTCTACCTCGGAAAGTAATTCTACTTCTACTACTACTACTTTTGTTCCATCTACATCTACTTTTAAAAATCAGTCTACTTTTGATCCAAGTACTTCGAATTCGGTTGTAATCGCTGTAAATTCTTAATCTGATTTTCTCTCTCCTGATGAGGATGATCCTCCACCGGAAGTCCAACAAACATTCGTTGTCTATTAGATCGATTTCCTAAAGTTCTGGCTGAACCTCATGGAGTTCCCGAGCGGCCGGTCAAACACAAGATCGAGATAATAGAAGGGGGTAATCCTCCAAAGGGTTGCGTCTACCGTATGGGACAAGGCGAGTTGGAGGAATTGAGGAGACAAATTGACGATATGATTGATCGTGGATGGATTAGGCCTAGTGAGTCTAAGTCCAGTGCACCTGTCTTGTTTGTGTCGAAGAAAGGACGCAAACTTCGGATGTGTATTGACTATTGCGTAGCCTAAATCGGATCACCAAAATGAATGTTTATCCTTTTCCTCGCATAGATGATTTGGTAGATGCGGCAGGTGGGTGCAAAGTCTTCTCCAAGATCGACCTCAAATTTGGCTACCACCAAATTGAAGTTGATCCGAGCGACCTGCACAAAACTGCATTCAAAACACGTGATGGCCTGTACGAATTCATCGTTATGCCCTTCGGTCTTACCAATGCACCAACCACGTTTAAGTGCCTCATGGACAAGGTCCTCCGCCATCAGCTTAACAGGTTTGTTGTTGTTTACCTCGATGACCTCCTGATTTTCAGCAAGTCCATGGAAGAGCACGTCAAGCACCTTGAGGTTTTGCAGGTCCTCAAGGAGGCACAGTTGCACCTCTACTTAGAGAAATCTGAGTTTGGAAGGGACAGCGTCATCTATCTTGGGCACCGGTTGTCTGCAAACGGCCTTGAGCCGAAGGCAACCAAGGTTGAGGTCATATGAAAGTGGCCTCAACCGGCGAACGTGCGCGAATTGCGTTCTTTCCTCGGTTTGGCTTCGTATTACCGGAAGTTTGTACCCATTTTTTTCGTCATTGCTCACCCACTCTCGAGACTAACAAGCAAAAATGTTGCCTATGCGTGGTGTGAGAAATGCGAGACTGCGTTCCAAGCCTTGAAAAAGACTGAGTTCCAAGCATTGCGGATCCCAACCTCACGTTCGTAGTCACTACAGACGCCAGCCAGTATCGGATTGGTGCAGTGCTGCAACAAGATGATGGCCATGGATTGGCCGAGGAAATCAAACTCAACAAGAGTTCTGGTCGACACCCCCACGCCAATGGATTGGCTAAGGAAATCAACCAGACTGTCATTCAATTATTGCGCACATTAATTGTTCCAGATCAGAACACGTGGGGCAAGGAGTCACACAAAGTGAAGGGGTTGTACAACAACTCCATTCACTCTGCAACTAGCGTGACACCGAATCAATTGCAATATGGTTGGTAATTACGTAATCCTCTCCCATTTGTTCCCCGAACGGTCCCCTCGTCTGACGCCTGGCATGCCTAGCTACAATGCCAAGTATGCACGCCTATTCAAAGCTGCTATCGCAGCAGTGAACAAGCGTCAGCATGCCATGATCAAACATGCTAAAAAATCGCGCAAAGAAGGGAACTTCGAAGTAGGAAGTTATGTCAGGGTCAAAATGTCCGAGTATTCTGACGAAGAGGGCGTATCACGAAAGCTTCTTCCATTGTACTATGGCCCTAGGCAGGTTCTAAAAGTGATTGGGGATGATTTTGGTCCTTTCTATGTGATTGACGTGCCTCCTCATCTGCGCACATATCCGGTCTTTCACACGTCCAAATTGTTTCCACACATCGATGACGAGACTCTCCCTTCCAAGATCCTACGATACCTCGTCCTATCGACGGCGGCCATGAGATAGACATAATTGTTTCCCATGAAGGGAGAGGGAGGAACAGACAGTACAAGGTTCACTTCCTCTATCAACCATTGAACGAGTTTTTCTCGATCGACAGAAAAGAGTTGCTCAAGAATGCTCCACGTGTTGTCAAGGCTTATGAACGACAGATCGCTGATGGACAGAGTGCCAAGTTTCCTGCAAAACTCGCTCCTCACGGTCTTACTAAATCTCTCTTTCTGATCTACGCCTACGATGCATTTTGTGCCGACTCTGAATGAGTTACTCGCTCGAAGGGACATCGCTCTTGAGAGGGGGGTAGTGTAATGAGCCGCCAAAACACAAATTGAGAACACTGCTCTTGATTTCTGTGATTTGCCGCTAGAATGAATGCCTTGCTGAGATTCCCGCGTTCTGCTGTGGTTTCCAATCTGGGTGTGTGTGAGTGCCTGCTGAGTTGTGCCTGTCTGAGTGCTTGTCAGTTGAGTGTGTGTGCGACCCACAAGGGTACTTATTGGTTCAAGGGCCCCGCATGGCCAATACTTACCTGTGGTCGTGACTTTGAGGGTTGCAGCAGAAAAACACTCAAGTAGCGGGGGTAGGCCCACGACACTTAGAGCAGCGGGAAAAACACTCAAGTAGCAGGTAGGCCGGTACCACTCAAGTAGTGGTAGAAGTGTCGGGTACTGAAGGCCAAGCAGAAGAAGACAAAAAATTGGCATTTTTAGAGGCCCAGTAGCGGTAGGTTAGAGGTAGGCCGGTACCAGTCCAAGTAGCCCGGGTCTAGGGCCTGTCCGCACGATAGCAAAGCCTGCAATGATGTTTTCCTCCAAAAGGGACGAGGTACCGGTTGTTGGGAGGCCGCTCGGCCTAGGAAGTCACCGCCCAAGAGGCCAGTAGGCCGCTATATCTTCTGGAGGAGCAAATAGCTCCTCCTCATTTGCGGTATGCAAGGATTGGCGACTTGTTGCTGAGCCAAGCCCTGGACTTGTACAGCGCTGCCGGGAGGTGAAGGGCAGCTAGGCGCTCAACCTAGCTATGGCGAGCAGCCCAGCCTAAGGAGGAGGAAGAAGGGGGCGAAGGAGGAGAGTGGCGAGGTAACTACCTGGCTATGGTGGACACCATCTTCAGCACCTTGTTGGGCGCTGCATATGGAACACCCCAGTTGGGGTGGTGCCGCACCAAGGAAGCTCGAGGCAGAGTCAAGCATGGTGGCTTAGTCAGCAGCGACATAGCTGCTTTGGGTTGTCCTTTGGACAGGAGTGCAGTGCCATAGCTGCTTTGTGTTGTCCTTTGCACAGAGAAGGGCAGAGCCCTCAATTGTCCGCCATAGCCTAGGCTTGTGAGAAGCGGAAGAAGGGGGAAGCCATAGCTATGGTGGACCTGTTGTTGCTGTTGTTGTGTCAGCAGTAAGAGGGAACTTCGAATATTGATTCTGGTTCATCCACTCATTGTTATTATTATTATTGGGACGAAGAATAAGATTGGCGAAGTTAAGAAGGAGGAGGAAGGTGGAGAGAGAGGGGGGATTTGTCATTGGTCTTGCAGGTCTTCTTCTTCTTCTTCTTCTTCTTCTTTCTCTCTTCTCTGGTCTCTATCTCTTTGCAAGTGCTTTCATTTCTTTCGCAATTGGGTGGCATTGACTTTCATTGTGAATTTTCACTTTGGGAATGACCAGGATCGTAACATATCTATCTATCTATCTGTCTATCTATCTATCTATCTATATTGTCACAGAACTATTGACTAAGAGCGTAAGCACGTAGAGTAGAACAAGAAATAAGGCGAGCGAAGAAAAGATAAATGAAAGGACAGACAGACAAACCAGAATGACACAAAACCAAACCATGTCCTCTTATTGTTTGTTTCACAATGTTATTATTTCTTTCAGTGTTTGACAAAAAAAATTTACACTGAATCAAAAGATAAAAATAAAAAATAAAGACACGTTGAAATCATTCAGTTTCTCAGTCTTCTTAACGCCTCCTCTACTATGCCTCTAACGTACAACGCTCGCCACGTTGATGAAGTTGAGCGCGAGCTGCCCCCATCCCCGTATGCCATAACAGCCCACTTGCACGCTATGGAAAAGAGGCAAAGTGAAGGAAGAGGCAAGGAAGAGACGAGCAAAAAAGGAAAATCGATAGGCAAAGGGAGAATAAACAAAAAAAGTGACCCTAACATCTTTATTTCACTGCATTCTTTTTTTTCTCACAGTTTTGCAGTTTTGGTGAAGACTCTACCACGTTCGCTTTTCAGCGCACCTGCACTTCCTTCTTCATTTCTCATCATCATTTTTACCCTTTGGACTTTTCTTTTGAGGGTGTTAAGGTGCTGGGTACAAACAAAGTAAGATGACACAAACTTATGTTCTTCTTTTACTGCATTCTTCACAGTTTTGCAGTTTTAGTGAAGGGTTCCCCACGTTTGCACATTCTTGTACACTCTTTTCAGCGCACCTGCACATTTTTGTYAGGGTGCAAGGTACGTCTAAGTAAGACCCTCACGACAGATAGGACAACTGTCATAAGGATGCGGGCAATGGTAGCAGCCCTCCCGCTGATCTACAGGACGAAAACCATTCAGGTCAGCAACTTCGTCACAACAGGAGCCAGGGCGGCTAGCATTAACCATGCCTCTGAAACATGCACGACAGAGGGCATGTCGATCGCAGGCCATGACGATTGTGGGGCGTTCACCATCACAGTTAATTGCACATTCACTTTAGCGCCCGCAGGCACAGATGGGACATACTGCATCTGGATGTAGGGGACGTTCACAATCCGGATACAGGTGGCATCCCCGCCGACAGCAAGCCCGGAAAATTATGTGGTTGTAGTGATGTCGACAAAGTTGATGCTTTCCACAACCAAGTGTAACTGTGTAAGTGATCTCACAAAGAAGGACGTCACAAAGTGTTCGTGCACCATGTGGGGGAATGAAGACTAAAGCAGGCACGTTGACAGACATGGAGGTAGGCACGGAGACAGACACAGAAACGGGCATGGAGACGAGTGTGGGGGCAGGCACAGAGACAAGTGCAGAGGCGGGGACGGAAGTATATCTATAGAGAGAGAGAGGGGCAGAGAGCGAGAGAGAGAGAAGTGCGGAAAGCAGCACATGCGCAACGTTTTTCGTATTTTTTAGTTGGGCGATGGCCTTGAGACGCCATCATCAAACTGACCGCCCCAAGGTGAATTCACAATCAAGCATTCATCCAAGCACACTTGTCCCAAGGCATTGGTGCAAACCTGCGATACTCACAATATCAATCCCATTGACCAACTACAAGAGCCGGTGTGTTGTAAATAACCACAATCGTAGCCAAGGGAAATAGTGGTTTAATTGATCGTGTCAACACCACTTTCCCCTGCTAGTTCACCAGTTTAGCCTAGGCCAACTGGAATCATCATCTATAAATAGCCAGAGAACCAAAAATCCCCAAAACTCAAAGAGCACGATGAAACGGTTTCACCTAGTTCACGTGACGATGCAGATCGAAGGGCTTGATCCCTAGACTTATACCCAACCCCCTGTACAATTACTTGTTGACCATGTGTGTGTTTGAACCCGCAACCTGCCCCTCATCTCATGTACAAATGTTTCCCGTATGTGCTTTGGGTCGTGCGGACTTGAGCCGACGACCTGTAGCGAAGGGGCAATCTAGAAATTATTGCGTGGCTCTTCGGAGTTGTAGGGGTCAGTCAGTCATAGCCTAGGAGGTTCTAGACTCGTCGACTTCACCTTTTGAGGTCGTAGGGGTCAGTCATCCGTGGCTGAGTCGGCAAGGTAAAGTCCAGTCCCAATTTAAGTCTCAATCCACCTTGTCTAGTCAACAAGTACCAGATGGGGTTGCACAGTCCTTGGGCTTGGGACCAAAGGCAGGCCATACCGTCAACGAAACAGTATAAATAAAGAGGCAGCGCCAAGCAATTCATTCATTCACCTGTGAGCCATGCCAAGGCGCTGCTTGTCCGACTTCTGCATTCTAAGGTCTGCAGGTGCCCGAAGACGAAGAGGGTAGAGGAGGACAACGGAAGCCATAGCCGCCAGCACCTAGAGTAGGAAGACGACGGCAGCCATAGCTGGCAAGTGCTAACGTCAACAGCTAGCGTCCAGTGTGCGTGTGTGTGTGGGTGGATGCGTGGACATTCAAGGTAGATCCTAGTGTGTGACTGGGAGTGTGTCTGATGGTGGTTACAATTTTAATTCAGACTAGCGTGCACCAGCCATAGCCGCTAGGTGTGAAGCGTTCACTCCCAGACCTTCGGCCATATTTATGAGTTTCTTGTGTGGGCGCAATGCGCCATCGCAAGTTTGTCGATGATTCTCTGTTGACGAAGTTGTGTTGCCACCGGCACTTACGTGTATTCATGTTACCAGTGAAATTGAGACAAGTTTGATTACACTGTTATCATAGCAGGTTCCCGTTGTCTGCACCATCGCACCGACCGTCGCAAAGAGGAAAAAGGTTGCAGCACGTTGAACAAGAGAGAGAGAGGAAGAAGAAGAGAAAGAGAGAGGTGACCAAGTTGAGGAGGGTCGGCCATAGCCAAATTAAGGACGAGGAAAAAGAAGGGCAAAGTTCACGAAGTTGAAGAAGGGAGGAGAACGCCGCCATAGGCAAGCGTTGACAGGCGAGCACTGACCGACGAGGTTTGACCAGAGTTGAATGGCATTACCCAGGGGTTCATCGATGTTGATCGAGGCTGACCGAGTGTTGACCGACGTTGACCAAGGGTTGTCCGACTTCGACCGGTGCCAGTTGACCAAGCTGGAGTGTGGAGCGATGAGCGGTATAACCCTTCAAGCCCTAGCCCTTGTCCCCCATGCCGTTTGGATGTTGCACACTCACCTTGGTACTTGCTGAGAAAACATCGAATCACTTACGTCCACGTCGATAGATTCCATGCATGTGGTCTGATAGGGGCTCTGCACGGGACTTGCTAGGGTTGAGGTGTATCTGGCGCTAGACGACATGGGAAAACACGCCAAGGACAAGTATAGCGCGGCACGTTGCTCCAGGTGGTACATTAACCCGAACTCCAAGTTGCAGTGGGTGTCCAGTTAGTTTAACTCTTGAAAGGACTTTAGTTGTCATCGTCGTTCTGACTGCAACACTAAAGAATTCTTGAGTTGTGGGGGACCTCCTTAAAATGCCTCCTGATCAGCCAATAGTCCTGTAGTAACAGACTAGCAGTAGCTTAGGCTACATTTGTGTCGTTGACAGAGGGTCAATCTGAAGTCGAAGCCAGGTGGGATTGGAAAATGTGGTTGCGACCGCATCCAACGGTTGTGAAAAAATTGGTGATTGTGGTTGCGAAAGCATCTACCGGTTGTGGAAAGATTGGTGACTGTGGTTGCGGAAGCATCCAACGTCTGTTAATAGATTGTTCGCTATGTTT